AATTGTTCCCTCACACCTTATTGAGACTCTCATTATTCATATTCCTAAGTTTGATTCTCCCACATCTATAAGGGATTTTAGATCAATTAGTTTATGAAATGTTTTCTCTAAATTAATCTCTAAAACCCTTGAGAATAGAATTAGATCTCATTTGGACTCCATCATCGACCCTTTCTGAAATAGCTTCATTCCTAACAGATGAACATATGACAATGCAATTATAACTCAGGTAATTGTTCATCATAGGCATAAGAGGACATGTAAGACTGGTTATGTTATGTTCAAAATAAAGTTTAAAAAAACCTATGATCAAGTAGACTAAAACTTCATAAAGGTAACTCCAAATAAATTTGGTTTTCCACCCATTATTGTGGACTTGATTATGGATAGTCTCACGTCTACAACCTTATCCTTGAAATGGAAAAATTAAAAGTTACCTCATTTCTCCCTTCAGAGTGGTTTGAGACAAAAGGACCCTTTATCACCATATTTTTTTATGCATGCGAAACTTGCTTTGTTAATCCAAGAAAAAGTTGTTAAAGATAGTTGGTTTCCTTTCATAGTGAATTACAATGAATAAAGATGGCCCTAAGATTTCTCACCTTTTTTTTGTTGGCGATTGCCTTTTGTTTACAAAGGCAACTTGCTTTCAACTTAAACTTGTATAAGATGTTTTGTGTACCTTTTATCTTGCATTAGGTATCAAGGTAAATGAATAGAATTCTAAATTCTTTGTTTCTAAAAAGTAAATAATAGGAAAATCTATAATTTTGTTGGCATGTTAGATTTTCTTAATACTTATCATCTTGGTAGATATTTGGGTTTCCCCCTAATAGTTGACAAGTGCAAGATGTCATATTTCTCCTATATCATTGAACAAATTGAAAAAAGAATTTCTGGGTGAAAGAACATGCTTTTAAATAAGGCAGGGAGGATTACTTTAGCCAATTTGGTGTTTTCTGCTATTCCCTCTTACACAATGGAAAATATATGGATTCCTCAGGAATTTGTGACAAAATTGACTACAAGATTAGAAGTTTTATTTGGGGTGACTCAACCAAGCACTAGGTAGATTGGTATACTATTAAAAAATCTCATAGCATGGGGGGACTTAATGTGCACAAGAGTAGAGAAACTAATATTACATTACTTCAAAAACATGCATGAGATTTTATGAATGAGCTTGATAAATTATGGGTTCAATTCTTTTCCTCCAAATATCTTCATTCTTCCAATGTTCTAGATGTTGGCAATTATAAAGGTTGCTCTTACATGTGGAGTTCCATCATGAAGGCGTTATCTTATATAAGGGAAGGGTTCTCAACTCATATTGATGATGGGCAATCTTCCATTTAATGTACACACTTAATGCACCAATAGAAATCTTACTCTACAAGAAAGGAAGACGAAAAAAGATGAAGTAAGTCAACGAGTGAAACTTAAGGATTTACAATAATTATCTTCATCAATCACCAATATAAACAAGCTTGAAAAACTCAAAAGAAAGAGAGAACAATGAAGTTAGTGGAAAAACACACAGAAGGGGGGTTGAATGTGTGTGTGAACGAAGGAATTTTAAAATCGTTTTTTCAAAGAGAATTTTTTTCGTCTAGTAAGAATATTACATTGAACACTTTAAAAATTGTGCAAGGTTGGCTCAACGAAAGTGTTTTGCGTCTGAGAGTTTATCGTCTGCAAAAGAAAATGTTTTTTAAAATAATAAGTTAAACAAGTGTATTTTTCATTTAAAGATAGTTGTAGTGAAAAATGAGTAGCAAACGAAATTTTTAGTACAATATGTTAGTTAAACAAAAGTTATTGCATCTGAGAAATAGATAAAGAGTGCTAAGAGTTTTATACTGGTTCACTCGACCTGAGCTACGTCCAGTCTCCTTCAACCGAAGGGTTCCACTAATCACAACGGATTACAAGTATTATCAACTACTTCTGATTCGCCAACTTCACTCGTCAGCGCCAGTATTCTTAAACCACTTCTAGTTCCTCAAGTATTATTAACCACTCCTGGTTCGCCAACTTCACTCGTCAGTGCTAGTATTCTTAAACCACTTCTGGTTCCCTAAGTATTATCAACCACTCTTGATTCTCCAAGTATTCTTTCAACTAGCCTCTTCAGGCTTTACAATAGATAGATGGTTTGAGTGTGTGTATAACTCTCACAAAGAGGATAGGATAACTTCTACACTCGTTAAGGTATGCAACCTTAGTTTTACAAAGATGTGTGTTTTGAGTGTGTGTATTACTCTCACAAAGAGGATAAGATAGTTTCAACACTCGCTAAGATAAGTTATCTTAGGTTTACACAGATATACAACACCGTACAGGAAGAGATTTAACGTTCGCTTTTGCTTATTGCTCGTTGCTTCACTTCTCTTGTTAGGTCTTGATATTTATAGCCTCGTGATAAATCTTCCCATTGTTTGAATTTGAAAGTGTTCATTGGAGCGGAGCTTCCCATTGGCGCAGATAGTAGTTTGTTCATGGCTACATAGATCTTTCATTTAATGCACTTGATCTTGCATTAAATGTTTGTTTACTGAATCTTTGTTATGTGAAGTCTTTTGTGTAGTTCATTCACTTTTATGTCTGTTTTAGATTGTTTATATTTCACTCTAAAATTGATTTATTTTTACTTACATACATAAATTAAATTAATTATTTATTTATATCTTTTTATATCATTTAACTTTTAGAAAACCAATCATATATAATGAAGACAATGAATAATTATAATCTAACAGATAATTATATTTTTTTATTATTAATAAAGTACTTAATATAAAGTTATCAATGTAACAAGAGCATTGAAGTTTAACTTTATGAGTTGATTCCTCCCATAAAAATTATTAATGTGTTTCAGAATTTATCCCAAAATGGTAAATTTTATTGGAGGACCACCTAAGATGAAATGGAGATGGCAGTAGAAGAAAACCATGAAAAATCTCTAAGGACAAGAATATATATAGTGATGGGTGATGATGGTAAGGACTTAGGAGGGACCCCACAACGTTAACTCTGTCTACACAATTTAATGTTTTGGTCGAATCTAGATAAGAATTACGATATATTACGCAACATTCAAAATCAAGGTTCGATATTTGGATTAATTGGGAGCCATAACTGTTTGCTTTCTTCGTCTTTACACTTCCTTATAGTTTTGCATATGTTGATTGATGTAACATATGATAAAGTAAAAATTACTTCATTTTCACACTTTCCATAGTCTTATAATACAATTTTTTTATGAATACAATTTAGGTACGTCTTTTTAAATCTAGTCAAACCAAAATTAAAATTTTACTTTAATATTATATATTTACATTTAATATAAATTTTATTAATATATATACATATTTATATATACTATTAGATTAAAATTTTAATTATAATTAAAGAATAATACTAATTATACCTAAAAAAATCCTACAAGCTTTGTAAATTTTTATTACCAACAAAAACAGGTGGCGCGGTTACCATTATATTCTTTCACGGTAACATTAATTTTTTATGCATGTCATAGAAAAGTAATCGATTGTCCAAAGGATGAAAATTATCACAGACAGTACACAAAATTTGATGTATCATAACTCGTGAGCTGTCTCTCTTAGGCATGGCAACATGGTGGGGCGGGCGGGTTTTACGTTCCTTGTTCCGGTCCTCGCAAATTTAAACCGTCCCGTTCTTGTCTTCGATACTTGTCGGGGATAAAATTTGGGTCCCCATCCTCACTTCTGGCAGAGTTCAGGTTTTCCCGTCCCCGCCCCCGCCCCCGTCCCTATTCCTATTTTTTTTTCTTCTTTTTTTCTTAAATAAATATGAACAATTTAAAAAAAATAAAAGAAAAATAAAATAATATAAATTTTTACATATAAATATTTCTAATTTTGATTTATATATATAAAAATAATTTTTTAATTATATTATTAAGCGGGACAGAGGCGGGATGCGTATGGGGGCGGAGGCGAGGTGGGTATTAACATCCCTGTCCTGCTCCCGCCCCTGCCCCTGATTTTATTAAACGGGAAAAATTTGAACCCGAACTTGATAAACACAATAAATCAGGACAAGTTTGAACGGGTAATCATGGAAGCGGATTAGATCGACATGCGTAAGTAACAACAGTCTGCTTCAGTGTACTCTCCACAACTATTTCAGCATCCTTTAATACAATAATCTAAAAATAGTAGTATTATATTATTTCATCTCTTACTTCTACCTAACAACATCATTGCAATTTACAACCAACCACGTGGTGAAAATATTATCTCCCCAACCCTCTTTCATTGTCTTCTATGAACACTTCATTTGCAAGTTAAATTCTGCCAAGATTCTTAGGTAATCAAAATTTCCGAGAATATCCTCTATTACTTGAGTGATCGATTCCTTTCATGTTATATTGCTTTCTGAGGGTAATTATTGTTGTCTTTTATCATACTATCTACTTTATACTATTTATTTTGATCACCCCACTACAACCCCGTGCAAGGACACCCATCTTATCTGTTTTATTCCTGTGTTCTGTGCTATGTTTTCAAATTATGAAAATAAGAAGAGTTCATGAAAAAGTTGTTTTGATTTATATTAAAGACTTGTATTATTTATTTAAGATTAAAAAAAACTTTTATTCAAAAACAATAATGTAAAAAGGAAATAATTCATGAAAATATTCAATTGAAGTGTATGACTTTTCATTAAATAGTTACCACGTAAAAAGTTGTGTTTTTTCATGAAAAGAACATTTTTCTTCCTTGGTATAATTTTTCTATCATCTGTTGGTTCGCAAATTTGTTTGAGTTTTGAACATTCATTTGTTTTAAAAATGCAAGAAATATTTAGAAATCCTTTTTATTGTATTTGTAACCCAACGAAAATTTGTCGGCATTCATCAAACCCAAGTTTTAATGAAGTATTCAATTGCAGAGGCTAATTAAGTCTAAAGTATTTATCTACATCTTGAAGATATTTTGGTCACTTCACTTTTACACTCCAATAGATTCTTTTCCATCAACATGATCTTCATCATATTTAATTAATTAATTTATGTTTAGAGAGAATGTTCAGATAGTTCAACAACTTATTTTATTAGTCACTTCTAGTGTCTTCTTCAGTCATTCTCTAAATTTCTGGCATGTGATCTTTTGGTTCTTCTTTCATTCTCAACTTGTTTGTCTATTATCATATTTTCCTTTTTATCTTTCTTCTTTTGCATCATCAGTTCTATCAGTTTTACCCCACACTGATCCAGCTTCTTCTTTAGTATCACCATGTTATTCGAATAAATGTATCACACTCACACAACTGTTTCTCATTCACTCATGCTAGTTTCATTATGAGATTTATCTAATTTGCTTTGTTCTTTGTTATTTCTGTTGAAGTTGTGAGTTGTTTGAAATCTTGATCACAATGGAAACCACATATTTCCCACTTAGGTGGGAGAGCACTGGGGACCAATGGTGGTATGCATCTCCAATAGATTGTGCTGCTGCAAATGGCCACTATGACTTGGTTCGTGAGTTGCTTCGAATTGACAACAACCACCTCTTCAAGCTCACATCACTGCGCCGAATTCGTCGACTAGAAGTGGTGTGGGATGATGAAGAACACTTCAGTGATGTTGCAAAGTGTCGTTCACAAGTGGCCCAGAAACTGCTTCATGAGTGTGAGTCCAAGAGAGGGAGCAGCAAGAACTCTCTAATCCGTGCAGGGTATGGAGGGTGGCTAATCTACACTGCTGCATCAGCTGGGGACTTGAGTTTTGTGCAGCAACTTCTTGAGAGGAACCCTTTGTTGGTGTTTGGAGAAGGGGAGTATAATGTCACTGATGTGTTCTATGCTGCTTCCAGGGGCAAGAACTGTGAGGTTTTTAGGCTGGTTTTTGATTTTGCAGTTTGTCCAAGGCTTGTGACAGGAAAAGGTGGGGTTTTGGAGGAGCATGTTGGGGATGTTCCTCCTGTTTATAAGTGGGAGATGAGTAATAGGGCTGTCCATGCTGCTGCTAGAGGGGGTAGTGTGGAGATTTTGGAGGAGTTTCTTGCCAATTGCTCTGATGTTTTGGCTTATAGAGATGCTCAGGGATCTACTATCTTGCATTCTGCTGCAGGAAGAGGCCAGGTTGAGGTGAGATTTTACTCGTTTAGTTTTCTTTTGTTATCCGCACACTTTCATAAAGTTCACAACTAAGGCTAATTTATATTTCCGGGTGACTTCACTGTATAAATATTATTTTAACACCGATGGAATCGATTCTGAGAGACTAGCTTGACACCCTATGCCTTAGGTAATTGAAGAAATTTGGTTTATTGTTCCATTTTTATGTAGCAAATGGTTGGTGCTACTTTGTCTAGTGTGTTTTTTCTTTCTTCTTGAATTTCCTTCTCAGTTCTCATGGGATAGGGTCTTTAGCTAATGACTATTCTTGTGAAGTAGTAGGAGCCTCTTAAAAAATTCTAACAGTTCTTTTAACAAATAGAAAAACAGAGTAAATCCTTACTTTTTAATCCCTGATGTTATATGTTATTTGAGTTGGTTGGTTGTTTCAGTCCCTAAAATTTCACTATAGTCACTTCCATGACTGTCATTTTCTTATACTTTCCTACTTCCTTTTTGACTAGTGACGCTTTCCAAAGTTAAGAGACAAGTGAAGTTTTAGCAAAGTAAAGGACTAAAATAATTGGCAAAAATTATCCGAGGGACTAAAGTGATGGCCTATTAAAAAAGGCATACTATGTTTTTGAATGGTGTTTATTGAATATAAGATGCTATGGAGTTTGAATGCAAACTATTAGAATTTAGAACCATTTGCATAGAATACGTTGCCTGTGTGAGTATTAAGTAACAATACAAGAAAGACCCAATGTGGTGCTACAATTGGAGGAAGATACTTTCCAGCATCCCCTTGCTTTTTATTCATGTTATTGTTGAAATTGTTGTGGTGGTTCGACATCATATCTACACTTAATGGTACTTGTGCAGGTGGTCAAATATCTCACATCATCCTTTGACATTATCAACTCCACAGATCATCAGGGAAACACTGCTTTACATGTGGCTGCTTACAGGGGCCAATTAGCTGCAGTTGAAGTTCTAGTTTCTGCATCTCCTGCATTGATCTCTCAGAGAAACAACACTGGAGAAACATTCCTCCATAAGGCAGTGTCTGGTTTTCAGTCTACCTCATTCAGAAGATTGGACAGACAAATTGAGCTTTTGAGGAAGCTAGTGAGTGATGAAACGTTTCACATGGAGGAAGTCATCAATGTGAAGAACACAGATGGAAGAACTGCTCTCCACATTGCCACGATTGGGAAAATCCACACTGATGTTGTTAAACTCCTCATGACTACTCCATCCATAAATGTGAATGTGAGTGATGCTGATGGCATGAACGCACTTGATTACCTTAAGCAAAGTCCCAATTCAGCAGCATCAAATGTACTAATTAGGAGATTAGTTGCAGCTGGGGGAATGTTCAATCACCAAGGCAATGGTTCAAGAAAAGGCATAGCTTCTTCACACATGAAAATGCATAGCATTGGTGGCAGTCCTGGAACATCATTCAGAATCTCAGACACTCAGATATTTTTGCACACAGGAATTGAGAATGCATCAGATGCTAGTACTGATCAAGGAAGTGCAGGAATGAGTTCATCTTCATCAGAACACACTGCATATGACTCAGCAGCAGAGAATAGGCCTTCAACAACAAGCGAAAGGCCTTCGGTGGCGGCCGGATTGAAGCGTGTCCTTCAGTGGCCACTGGTGAAGGACAAGAAAGGTGAGGGGATGAGGAATTCAATGGATGAAGGCTCAGTGGACTCATGCAGAAAATGGGACATCATCACAGATGAAATTCCAACCCCACTTAGACAAAGATTCTTTAGGCATTCAGCACTTCCAAACAACAAAAGGAACCTATCTGTGAGGAGTTACCAGTCAAGTCCAAATGCTAAGAAGAGATTTGCTTCAGGACCGGTGCAAGTAAAGGTTTCAAGAAGATCAAGCTCTAGTTCCTTTTCTATATCATCATTTTCATCACCTACATCAACAGATAAGCAAAAGGGTGTTTGCATTGACAGTGATGGTGCTGGACCATCTTGCACAAGTCATCAAAATGATAAATCAACAAATTCAGGGAAGAGAGCTTCTGTTAGCAAAAAGATAAGGGGCCATTATTTCTGTTTTTCAAAAGCCTCAGTAAACAGGCAGCAAGAAAGCCATTGTTACAAGGATCATGATGTTTTTGTGAATGGTTTAATTGGATGAAATTAGCTAATTCCTGAACAGTATGTTGTCAAATACACCGAAGGAAAAGGTGCTTCATTAATGCAAAACTGCACTGTCAAGATTTGAGCGCATCTAGTGCATTCTTTGTTTGCAAGATTTTATAGATAGTATTAGTATGTGATGATTTGAGATGTACATTTTCTGCACTACTGTTAAAACGTGCTTTTTATCATATTGACATCAAATAAGTGGAGTTTGGCGAAATGAGTGCTCTCTTAAGTCACTATAATTAAAGATGTTTATGTAGAACAACCCCTGGATTTGAGTGACAAACTTTCCAATTATGTTTTTAAATTAAGCAATGTTTTGTATAGCTTGAAACAAGCATCTCGTGCTTGATATGGAAGGCTAAACTCTTTTCTCTTAGAAAATGACTTTACAAGAAAGAAGGTTAACACTACTTTGTTCTGGAAAAACCTGGACGGTATTATTTTCAATGTTACTATTGAGATTTTTTACAGGGAATTTTCTAGGTTAATGCAACTTGAAGATTTCAAAATGAGCATTACGAAAGAACTCAAGTTTTTTCCTTTGGTTGCAAATTAAACAAGCTAAGGATGATATGTATACATCAAACCAATTAAACCAAATAGTTTCTTAAAAAGTTCAAGATGAACGATCTTCTATAATAATTGTTAGATATGTCAATATCTTTTATCTAATTTAAGAAGTTATCTGCTCATATTTTATGCTTTAGAGTTATATTTTTGTTAAAAATTAATATTTTAATTTTATCCCATTAATTAGCAAATTCTTTTAGTTTTAAGTGTTTTTAATGGCTTTTGTTAGTTTTGAGATATATGAGTACGAAGTTAATATTAAAAGAGCTAATATTGAGAACATTCGTTTAAAGCAAAGTTTTTATTCTACTTCATGTAATTCTTTCTTATTTTTATTCGATCAAAGTTTTTATTCAGTTAATTATTTTTAATGCATGTTTTAGCTTAAAAACCATCAACATGATCCTATAGAATTAATGAAGTTGAGAAACTCCTTTAAAATTGCAATATGAAAAATAATACTCATAATGTTTATTATTAGTATCTAATTTTAATGCAAGTTGCCCAACAAATTTTATAAAGGAATTGAATTTTTTTTAAGGAGCCTAAAATTTCTTGCTTAATAGATTACGGTTAAAATATTTTTGTTGTTTATTAAATTAACGATAATTACTTAAATTGGATAATAATTGGGAGGATATGTGTGACGAAGGTGAGTGAAATCAATCCCTAATATATTTTATTATCAATTTTATGATATCTTTAATTTGTTACTTTTATTGTTAAATCTAACAATTATCTTTTAAAGTTTTTTGATAATTAAAACCTAAAAATTATTTCTTTATCTTTATGCAAATAATATTTTATATATTTACGCTAATTAACATTACATTAGATTAATTGGTTGTAGTACAAGTTCACGAGGATTCGATACTTGGACTTCCATCTATTTTACTACTTGTGATATATTTGGTATGCTGGTAAAAAGTCTAACAAGTAAATGGTGTTGTTGTTGGAAACTTGCATACTATAATTAATTTTTAATTCGATGCTATTTTAGGGTTTAAATTTCTGCATTTAAATTCTATATATTTTTATTATTCTTTTATCTTTATTTTATTTAATTTTCTTTCTTCTGAGTTGATTTTTATTTGATTTGATTTTTTTTATTTTATTTTATTAAATCTCACTTATTCTTTTTTAGCCTTTAATCTTTTTATATGAGATAGAACTTTAGTCATAAATCTACATTATGACCTGGGGATTAAAAAAAACATGCAAGAGAAACAACTTCTAGAGAAGGTAACAATAAGCAATGGCAGAAGCCTCCACCATCACCACCACCAATGTGGAGGACTGTGGTTGATTATGTGACACTTCGTAGGCCTTGTGAATTCAATAGTATTGTTAGGCCTACAACTACAACCACACACTTTGAGATCAAGATGGCACTATTGAATCTGATCAGGGGAAATCAATTTTTTGAATCGAACAATGAGGATCTCCACACTCATCTCTCAAAGTTCATCATGATTTGCAACACCATGTAGTATTAGGATGTTTCCAATGGCACCATCCGATTGGTAATGTTTCTTACTTCATTCATTAGAAAGGCCAATTATTGGTTGTAGTCATTCCCACTAAATAGCTTCACCACATAGGGGGACTTAGTCAACAAATTTCTCAAGCAGTACTTCTCTCCTTAAAAGGTTAAACAGACGAAGATTTCCATTAATACCTTCTCATAAGAAATTGATGAGTCACTGGTAGAGGCTTGGGATTTTTTAGTTATGGTCCAAATGAGCTTGACCAAATGTGCACCTTCCTAGGTGGATTATTGTCTAATACAAAGCTCATCCTAGATGCCTCGGTTGGAGGCAACATGAATTACAAGATATCGAATGAAGTTATAATGATTGTAGAGAGCATATCCAATTAATAGTCATTGTGGATCTCAAAAGTCAAGGTTTGCACCGCGTAAAGGAGTTTATGAGTCAGGATTAAATGATGCAGTTCTTTCCCAAAATAAACTCCTGACCTAGTAGATCGAGATGCTTAATAAGATAGTTGAGAGGCTTCCACAACAAATTTACCAAATGCAATTCAACACACATACACCTTCTTCTATTTATTATGTCAGCAGTTGTGAAAATTGTGGTGGCATGCATCTTTAAAGACAATGTGGAGTAGTAGTAGAAAAACCCCAACAGGAGGTTTACTACATGGGTAATCAAGGGAAGTATAGAAGTAACCAAGGTGGAAGTAATAACAAAGGAAGATGGTAGCAACACCTTTGTCTTAGAGGATGGAACCAAAATAATTCAGGCACCTTTAGTGCACCTCTTTTAACACCTAAGTTGAGCTTGTATGACCATCAAACAGATGTAAAGGATACTCTCAATCAATTCATACAAACCTCCCCAACAAATCAAATACACACAAGCTATAATCAAAGACTTGGAAGTAAAGATGGGACAACTTGCCACTCATATAGAAAAACGCTTTTTTAGTAATTTCATTGCACATACTGAAGAGAACACTAAAGGGAACTATAGTGTTATTTTTACCAAGAGTGAAAAAAAGTATGGTGTTGAGGTTGGTGAGAAAAGCCAAGAGAAAAAAAAGTGAAGAAGATGAAAGAGAAAAAAAAATGAAAAAAATAAAATAAATTGAAATAGAGATTAGAGAGAGATAGAGTGATATTCTTGTTATTACGAATTTCTCAAGGATATCTGTTTGCATATGTGAGCGAATTCCTTAGTCATGAGAAAGTAAGGTCTCCATTGTAGGGAATTGACGTAGCTACTCTATTCCAAGTAAATCATTCCTATTTTTATTCCATCAAAGTTTTTATTTAGTTAATTATTATTTTTCTATTCTTAATGAATTTTTTTACTTAGATACCCTCTATGTGATCCTAAAGAATTAATTGAGGTTGGAAAATCCCTTTAAAACCATGATCTAAAGAATAACACTAATAAGACTTATTACTATCTTATTAGTCAATTTTTAGGTCTCTGACCTTAATGCGACATGCTTAACGAATTTGACCAAGGAATTGAGATTCTTTTTAAGGAACCTAGAATTTCTTTCCTAAGAGATTATGGTTCATAATTGGGAACGATACGTGTAAGGAAAGTCAATCACATCAGTTCTTGATATTTTTTATCATCAATTTTACAATATGTTTGATTTTCTTATTTTATCATTAATTTAATCTATCAATTATATTTTAAAGCTTTCTGATAATTAAAATAAAAAAATAGTTTTTTTATATCTTTATTAGACAATAAGGATAAAAATCCCACTAATCCCACGTGATTGTAAAACTAATTCTGTTAGTTGACTCTATGATTAGTTTGTTAAGTTGTAACTAATTTTTCTTCCTTTCACTGATGTACTTAAATAGCATTGTATGTACATATTAAAGAACTTGAATTCATTCATTTTGTTAATGAGATTCTTTTTCTCTCAACTCACTTTTCCTCTCTCGCATTCCCTTTTCTCTTCTACTGTGACGTGGTGTAGAATGCTAATATTGTTGAATGGAACTGGAGGTTCAGGTGGAGTGATCAAACAGTTGTAAGTCATATAGAGATGGAACAGGAACTTGGTCAGGTGTTACGAGGATGGCAACCTACAATTAACCAAACAGATTGGTGGTTTTGGAGGTCCAAAGTAGATGGAGTGTTTTCGATGAAAAAGGCATACAAGGTGATTGAATCAAAGATAAGGCCCGGGGAGGAAGGAGCGCTATTTAAACAAATATGGTCCATAAAAGCTCCACCGAAGGCACTTATTTTCTTGTGGAGGATAGTCAATAGAGGTATTCCTTCTGTAGATATCCTAAAAAGAAGGAATTTAATCCTAGATGAACAACAATCCCTTTGTGTGCTATGTAACAAGGTAGAGGAAACTGTTTCGCATTTATTTTGCACTTGCCAAGAAGTTGATAACATTTGGAAAAGTTTCTTGAATTGGATAAATTGTTCATTTCCGCTCCCTCAAGATGTGGCAACGACTCGAACGGTCTGGATGAATAGGAATAAGGGTAGATTTGAAGGTGATATTTTTAATTCAGAAAACACAATTAGAGAGATCACGTGTACTTCATGGCAGTGGATGAGGTTTCTTAACAAGCAGTTCACAATTCCATTTGCTCAGTGGCTTGTAACCCAGGTCAATGCTTGTTGTCTCTGGTTGTCTGATCGAATGGAGGTTTCGAAGGTAAAAGAAGGTCAATAATACCTATGCTCATAGTAATTAGATATGGAGAATAATAGTTATGTAACGAGTAACAAGTTTGGGTAGTTTGCGTCAAATAGTCTGTAGCCAAAGTTAAGAAATGGGGTGTAGCTTGTATTGGGGTGTAATTATCTGGTTTCTATATTTGGTTATGTAGTAATTTGGTTCAAATGAACTAAATTATAAATAACCTATTATTTGTAATATGGGGTTGTGGCACCCCTAGTGCCACCTCAATTTATTTTGCTGTTTCAAAAAAAAAATGGTATCAAAGCTCTTAGGAGCTTTGGGACATTATTTGCAATTCTGATTGTGATCCTTGCTCATTTGTTTTCAATCTTGTTTAGTTTTATCATTGATTCTTGATCTTCAAAATTGTCTTGAGCGTCTTCACCAATGGCAATTACAAATCAAAACCTAGATCACCTTACAAATTCATCAAATCCTTACTACCTCAAC